AAACAATCAATGATTTTGTATAGCTGAAGCAATGTTAAAGACTTGTTATAATAGCCTGGAATATCGAGTTCAATATTCATTAGAAAACTTATTTATCATAAACTCAGTGATTGAAAATATACAAAACCTAAAGAAATGTGAGAGTCTTAGGCTGCAGTCCTAGCTGCAGCTACAAAAATTAGATAAGAAAAGATTAATATTTTCTTTTGTTATTATAGCTCAGCTTTTAATTTAAAACTAAAATAATTCCTAAGACAAAATTACAGTCTAAAACTCTACGTTTTCTCCTAGTTTTCTTTATTTTCTATCAGTTAAACTAGACTTCAAAGGCAGATACTACTCAAGCAGCAGACATAAGTTTGAGCCAGCTGGTTATAGTTGGAAAAATCGATGCTGCAACAAGCAAATTCATAACATAACATAAGCGTTGTCTAGTCAACATGGCTAACATAAAAATCAATTGCAGCGGCAGCAGCTAAAGACAAATTGAAGTCACAAGCTGCAAGTTGTACGCAAAGTGAGTCAAAAGTGCACAAAGTCGACTCATTCTATAGTAGATATAGAGAAAAACAATTCATATATATATATGTGTGTGTGTGTGTGTGTGTGAGATCAAATTTAATTGAAAGGCTTAGGCATGGATGGCCTGGTGCTAATGCTCGAGCATGATTGATGAAGTTGATTTGGTTTTGTGTAGGCGCCAGGTCTCAGCGTCTGTTAGCGCATGCAAACGGTAAACGTTGTCACAATCGAAAACAACAAACAAAACAGAGAGGCAAACAAATTCGTTTGGTTGGCTAATTAAATGGTAAACGTTTCGCATTTCAGTTGTTTGAAGGTGTTCAAAATGAAGGCATCGACATTGGATAAAATCAGCTGCTTCCTCGCGGAGCTGATGGGCACAGCCATTCTGGTCTTCCTCGGCTGCATGGGCTGCGTGAAAACAGATCTCTTTCCCAACAATCATCTGCAGATCATTCTTAACTTCGGCTTCGCCGTTCTCATTGCCATTCAATGCTTTGGCTGCGTTTCGGGCGCTCATCTGAATCCCGCTGTCACTGTGGCGGCCTTCATCTATGACCTGGTCTCGCTGCCCATGGCTTTTGTCTACTTTGTCGGTCAGATGTTGGGCGGTTTCATTGGCTATGGCCTGCTGATGGCCCTGCTGCCACCGTCCACACTGAATGTGCCCAATGGCCTGTGCGTGACACTGCCCCACTCGGAGGTCAGCAATCTGCAGGCCTTTGGCATTGAGTTTGTGGCCACGGCCATTCTAGTTATTGTGTGCTGCGGCGTCTGGGATCCTCGCAATGCCAAGCACCACGATTCGGTGGCCATACGCTTTGGCCTGGCCATTGCCTGTTTGGCCTGTGCCGCGGTAAGTTGAAGTCGGTCATTTCTGAAAGGAAAATTGTCATTAACATTCTGTTCGTTTTGCTTGCAGGGACCCTTCACTGGCGCCAGCATGAACCCAGCCAGGTCTTTCGCGCCAGCGCTCTGGAACGGCAACTTCCTCAAGCACTGGATCTATTGGCTGGCACCGCTGAGCGGTGCTGGTATCACTGCCATCGCCTACAAGACCGTCTTCCGGCGAGAGGTTGTCGAGGCCCAGATCGTCTCCGACGAGAAACTGCGCCAACTGGAGGACGTCCAGCTCTCATAGACAATTGTATACAAGTGCCAAAGCTGCCCCACTGTACAGGGCACACACTTAAACAAAATCTAATTAGTCCTAAGCTAAGATCGTTATCGACGAATTTTATATTAAAACAGTTCTTGTACTCTAATATAAAAGGGCTTCGATTAATAAAGCACATAGACATTTTTTCTATCGCGAAAAAGTTGCTTTTCTTACGGAAATGGCAGCCAGATTGTTCAGTTATGCATGCCATATACAATTTAAGGCTATCCAACCAAATTGCAGTTCGAATTGCCTGAGTGCTTTTCCAGCCAATTGGTTATTCCTTTAAACCCAACTTGAATTGATCTGACCGCGCCTAAAAGTAGGCCCAACATTTGATCTCAGCATTCATGAATCAAAAGTACTCAGCGGCGAGCCTTGGTCAAGTTGAGGCACCATATTCACGCAGCTGTTGAAGATCTCGAGGAGATAAGATTACGCATGGAGTGCCACGCCGTGTGGCAAATTCTAAGAGTTCGAAACATGATAAATTATTTATTCATTTGCGATTGGGGTTGACAATACCAAATAACGTAAATGCGCATATCTAAGCAAAGAAAAAAAAACCAAAAATATCCGCATAATAATTAGCATTAAGGTTTTATAATTCATATTGATTGATTAGGGGCCAATTTAAAGTCGAAACCTTGCGCTACTCGTAGCCAGCCGGGCCCACGGCCCCACGGGCCCAGTCTGCTGGCTCAGTTGAACTTGGCCAGCATGTCGCAGCAGAAGCTAACGCTAAACATTTCCAGCACCAGCTCCGGGTCGAGATGGAGATATCTGAAGCTGCATGCGGAGAATCGAGCGCGAGTGGCGGCCTTCTTTGGCGAGCTGGTGGGCACGGCCACATTCATTTTCATTGCTTGCATGGGCTGTGTGACCACGCCCCTGTTTCTCAACTCCCACTTCGAGCTGAGCCTCAACTTCGGCCTGGCCATTCTGATTGCCATACAGAGCTTCGGTTCCATTTCGGGCGCCCATCTCAATCCGGCCATCACGCTGGCTGCCTTGATTTACGGCGCCCTCAACTGGTACATGTCCATAGCATACCTGGTGGCACAGGTGGCAGGTGCTTTGATTGGCTACGGTCTGCTGAAGGCTGTGCTGCCCTTGAACGCCATCGTCGGCGTAGACGAGCCGGCTGGCGTCTGTGTCACAGTTCTCAGCAAGGATATTTCCGTGCTGCAAGGCGTCTTCATTGAGCTGCTGATCACCTGCTTCTTGACAATGGTCGCCTGCTCGGTGTGGGATCCTCGCAATGCGAGACTGAAGGATTCGGTGCCCATTCGCTTCGGTCTGACAGTTTCCTGCCTGAACTTGGCGGCGGTCAGTATGAGAACGTATTTGTAATTCGCACGACTTCAATTTCAATTACCACAGGGCCTTTTCACTGGGTCCAGCATGAATCCGACCCGCTCGCTGGGACCGGCGGTGTGGAACAATTCGTGGCAGAACCACTGGATCTACTGGGTGGGTCCATTGGCTGGCGCCGCAATCACTTCGCTTATCTATCGATTCGCCTTCAAGGGCCGCAGCGAAGAGGTGCTTGAGCTGCGCACCTCCAATGCCCAAATCAATTTCATTGATAGGGTTTAGGGTCTACAGCATTACGTACTAGCCCTAAGGTTAATTTAAGTTTAATATAATAAATCAATAAGCTTAACTATGTGTATCTAACAGAAAGGCGGAAAATGGCAGCAACAAAGATAGGCAGAGACACCCTTGCCAAAGAGCTGGGGACAATAGGGCAAGAAACGTGTGCGAAATCTTTATCTATCTAGAAATCAAAACTATTGTGACGACAATAAACTGAAAGTTATAAAGAGTATTGTTCAAAATCTGACACCAATTAAAGACTTGAATTAGGAAAGGTGTCTCAATAGACTGCGAATCGATAAGATAACTTTACGTCTGACGACACAGAAAGCTATCAGATGAACATAATAAATATGTCTGCATGTGTTCTTCAGATTTAGAAATTATTTGTCTAGCCAAGGCCTTACAGCTGAGTCCCATTGATTAAGGCATAATGAAAAAAAAGTATTTAAACTACTACTTCAGCTGAGCGACGTACTTGAAGGTAGATCAATTTTATTTATTTTACTTTTTCGATAACGTTTCGGGCAAAGAAGGTCGGAAAACCCCCGCTAACACGTTAGTCAGAAGTGCCACATGACTGGACATCAGAGAGGGAATTCAAATGTAGAAAAAGTTGTCAATCACTGAGATAATAAATGTGCTTTGTAAGTTTTTAGAAAATGATCTTACAATTGCTTTTACTTTTTAACATTCGTCTAATATTTAAAAATTTTAAAATAAGGATATCCTTGATTGTTCTGTAGTGCGAGCAAAGAGGATAGCAACGGAATAGTATGATCTGCTTGCCAAGGTGAGAATGATGTCAGTTACGATTTTCTCAGGCGGTTCGTTTCTACCTCATGGCGGGAGATAGCCTTGATTGATATCAAACTTCCTGTGCCCAAAAGTGGCATAAGTATATTTATATGCCAGGCATGAAAAAATGATTGCCCATAAAATTGCTAAACAAAATAGTCATAATCTGAAAGATAAGGTTTATGTATATAAACATACGCGATCTGCAAGACAATTGGTTAGGGTATCTGCTAGTCATGGCAGCTGTCCATGAGAGCTATGCTTAATGCCCGTATTCCATTTGGATTTGCTAATCAAGAATGTTGTTGCATATCGCTGAATGGAATATGAAATAAAAGTCATTCTTGTCTTAAGTACTTTTCAACAGCTTTATAGATAGTTATCAAAATTATTGCTGTACTGAAAATGTGGGTCTGCTATAAAAAATTTTATATAATATTAAGCAGAGTTTTGATCGCTGCGTTTGATACGCTGATATACGTAGAAGAGTTAGCTGATAATTGGTTTTAGCATTTGATAATTCGATAATTGATAATGGCCCTCGTTGAGGATTAATGCCTATTGCTACAATATGGCTCGAGGGGGCGTTGAGTAGAGCTATGCAAGTACCTGTCAATGGGTCGAGTGGCAAAGCTAATCGGGCAACGACAACTACCGACAAACAACCGTCGACAGTCGACAGTCGACAACGCGCTGCAGTCTCCGAGTCAGATTTGCCGGATTTAGTTGCGAGCTGTGGTGCGTCGAGTTGAAACGCTGGACTGTGTGGTGCGACTCCTATTTATAAAATTACGTCTCTGGCATAATGGTCGAGCAGAGTGACAACTCGAGGCAGGTGACAAGTAGAGACGCGTGTGCTTCTATTGCAATTGGTGGGTGTAAAGTCGAAGCCTAATCTATGTCTTTTCTACGTCTATTGCAGGAGTGAACTACTCAAAAATGTAGCTAAGTTCTTTGGGGAGTTTGCTGCCACGGCTGTACTGGTGTATCTGGGATGCATGGGCTGTGTGAATTCGTCGTCGATTATTAATTCCCCGCTCCAGTGTTCACTTACTTTCGGCTTCGTCGTGCTCATCTGTATTCAGTGCTTTGGCTGTATATCGGGAGCCCATCTGAATCCCGCCGTGACGTTGGCAAGTTTTATATACGAGCTGATATCGTGGCAAATGGCCATTTTGTATTTTGTGGCGCAAATACTTGGCGGCTCGATTGGATATGGACTGCTGGTGGCATCGATGCCCAAAAATATGATTTGTAACTCCCTTACTCCAATGGGCGCTTGTGTGACCTCCGTTGCCAGCAACATAACTCTTTGGCAGGCGGTCATCATTGAGTTCCTCCTCACGTCCATTTTGATCTGCGTCTGCTGCGGTGTTTGGGATTTACGCAATGCGGACGTGCAAGACTCTGTGCCAATCCGTTTTGGGCTAACAGTTTCATGCATTGGCATAGTTGCGGTACGTATCTCAGCAGAAGCGCTCTCACTGTATACTAATTGTCACTTGATTTGCCTCCACAGGGCCAGCTTACTGGCGCAAGCATGAATCCCGTACGATCATTTGCTCCAGCTCTGTGGAATAACTCCTGGGAAGATCATTGGATATATTGGGTCGCTCCCTTAACATCGTCGCTAGTTACCTCTATTGCCTATAAGTACGGATTTCGCAGCAAGCCAGAAAACCCCAAAATACTAGGCATAACACAGCCGTAGTGCAACTGTAAATCTATTCATAATGCCACAAAAAAATTGGGGTTTATTGCAGATATTTATGTATGTATATAAATTTAATGTGTATATGAGCTATGAGTAGTAACGATTCAAAATTACAAAAAAAAGTCGTGTCTATAAATAATTATCAATATGTACCATATATCTTAGCATGTATCTAGCATAAGGGAAGCAAAGTACGCCTATATTCTATGCAAATATATATATTAGACTCTCAAAGTAAAGCCTTATCTTTTTCATTTTCTAATGGCACGGCAATGTTGGTAAGTAATTTGTATAAAAGCCTAATCGAATTCTTCAGATTATATTAAAAATTGTAGAGTTGCGTGGGAGAGATCGACTAAGAAATACCCGGAGACCAGCCCTCTGCACACTTTTGGCACATATAATATAATATAATATGTATAATATATGTTACAGCCTAGAGGCTAGATGGAATGCCATATAATTTTATCGAATCTTATCTTGTTGGCAGCCAGTTACAATCGCTTCTGTGCCGTTAAGCTATAAATTATTTTAAATTAGTTGTATTAGCAAATGTGATAGCCATGTTGATAAGACAATGAGGAAAACTTGAATTTCTTAAATTAAATTCTTTAAATTTATCTTAGACATTCATAGCTACTAAAGCTGCACTCAAATGCCGCATGACAACTAGTTAACGATGACCTTAGCGGAGCGCTTGAAGTTAACTAGACCTGGCGGGAGACTAACTAAATGCTGGATCATGAAATATAGCATGTCATCTTAAATATATATATAAATACATATTTATATACATAAACAAATATTTATTTGGTCAAGTATCAAAAATAATTCTCATGGGTTCAGATACCTATTCGTTATATCGGGATGCTCAATCTGTAGGGGTCGGTAATGTGGGGTATAGGCGAAATGCCAAATACTAGGCACAACGATGGCAGCTAACAACTGCCCGCCCATCTGAAGCAATACGGTTTCAGGATTGCCATTGAATAGTGGTGGAATGAGCACTTTGGCTGGATTCATGGAGGCGCCAGTGAGCTTGCGCTGCAAATGGTATAAATAATAAATTTTCCGAATTAACAAGGTGAGAGTGAAAAGTCGACTTACTCCTGCCAAATTGCATACGATAACCAGACAGCCCATTCGCAGGGTGACCGAGTCGAGAAAGCGTCCACTACGTACATCCCACAGTGCGCTCCAGGCGAGTATCAGCACCGAGGTGAGGAAGCTCTCAATTGCCAAGATTTGTACATTGGACAGACTATCCAATGGCTCCACAATGCACACTCCAAGTTTACAAGAATCAATTATGCCTTGCGATAGCATTTGCAACAACACATAATATCCAAAGGCCGCCCCTGCCAACTGGCAGACAACGTAGGTGAGCATCATAGTGGATCCTATGTGGCCCAGAAGACAGCACGCGATTGTAACGCAAGGATTGGCATGTGCGCCCGATATGAATCCAAAGATATGCATTACCACGACAGTGGCCAATCCGTAGGTCAAGCTTGATATTAGATATTCGCTTGCATCCTGCTCGTTCACACTGCAGCCCATACAACTGATAATAATAAAAACAGCTGTGGCGGAAAACTCGCTGAGTCCGCGCATAAAAATGAAACTATTAACTAACATTTTCGACCTACGCAACATACAATTTGGCATCGTTACAAAAATAAAGTTTTACAGAAATATATATGTGTGCACTGCTTAAGTCGAGATATGTTTCCTTTTACAAATCTTTAATGTATGCGACATGGGTGTCTAAAACATTATTATTTTTCAAATCTGACAGTTGAGTCATTACGCCTTAAATTCGAAATCAAAAACAGAGTGAAATTTTCCCTTGGGCTTGGGGCTCACTACAGCCGTTACATTTAAGCTGACCAAACTGTGTCAGCAAAATACCAAACGGAGCAGTATCAATATATGGTCACTCTCGAACGAGTGCTGCCATATCGAGCTACCTATAACAGAGTGGCAATTGGGGCGAGAACTGCAGACACGTATTTATTTATATTAGATGTTTTTTTATATCAATTCAATTGTGCCTAAATTAAGTAGTCAACGCAGTAAACAACAAGCGCAGCAGCTGGCCCACAATGTTTGCCAATCTGAAAAATAAACTCATCGAGGAGGTGAAAGCGTCGCCGTCCAAATTCCAACAATTTGCAAATGCAGCCCAGGCAAGACACAAAAAAAAAAATAAAAATTAATGAAAACATACACACACAAGCAATCTATTGTGTGTTTGTGTATGTGTTTGGCTTAACGGGGAGGTGATACATCCAAAACAGTCAATGCAATTGGCTAGTACTATTTAATTTGACCCATTTGAATGAAACTGGCAGCTGGGTGCACACCCAACCCCCCTAACACATTCGCATACACAACACAATCGCACCGCATGACACACACACACATATGCAGAAGAATTTTATCGGTTTGCTTTCTTGTAGGCCGCCGTGAGCTCATCGTCCAGCACAACAACACCGAACAGCTCGGAGAATACCGATACCGGCACTAATGAGAATTTCTTTAGCATCACGGAAGAGGGTAACTTTATATACGATTCATTTTCTTATCGGTGTTATAAAGGTATTCGTTTCTACTTGTCAATTGCACAGATACGCCACAAAACTCTCCCTACCGCATACAAAAGTTGCCGCGCGGTGGGCGTGCATCTACACAGTCACTGAATGGCATGGGAAGCGGCGCTATACCACGCACTCGCAAGCTCTCCAACTCGTCCATGGCCAGCGATGTGTCGTTCCGTTTGCCTACATATGATGCGCCAGCGGTAAGTGCGTGGGAATTGCATACTCGATTCAATTGATCGAACTAATGTTGTTTTTCAAACAGACGTATCACTTGCAGTCAGATTTGGACGAGACGAGCAGTGAGTTTGACGATTCCGCATCGACGGCACGTCTGGATGTTATCACTAAGGATCAGCTCTACGATGCATACAAGAAGTCGCTGGATCGTTATCACAAATACCGCTGCCGCTACACAGATCTAGCTAAAAAGTATAGGGAACTGGAGCGAGACAGTAGCAAGGCGCGGGTATGAATAGAATACAAGACATAGAGAAGAAGAAGCATGCAAAAAATCTAATCCCATTACCCTTTCAGTCTGTGCTTGTTGAGACTCAGGACAAGGCGCTGCGTCGCATTAGCGAGCTACGTGAACAATGTTCTCTGGAACAACAGGCCAAGGCGCATTTGGAGGAGGCTCTGCGCATCGAAATGGACGATATGAGCTGTAAGATGCAGGCCTACCAGACCAAGCTGAAGCTATTAGGTGAGAATCCGGACAATGTGACAGCTGCGCTCGAGCGTGGTCAGGTGGACACTGCCGACAAGCTGATCGATCTTGAGGAGCCAATAATAACACCAGTTGCGGCGCCAACTGCAAATGGCAGTCAGCCCGCACAGGAGCTAGACGCAGATCTCGCAAACCTACGCCAATTGTTGGTCGAGCAAGAAACGCAGTTAAAGCAGCTGACTAAAAACAATGAGGAGGCTAACGATACAATTGCTGCGTTACGCAAGCAGGAAGAGGAAAATGTATTTCTGCTGGCACAGACCAAACAAGCTATACACACGGAGCTAGAGCACAAGGAAACTGAAGTGCGCCAGCTGCAAGACACGGTAAAGCAACTTGAGACTGAACTGGAAATTGCCAATGGTAGAGAAACACAGTCAGGTGACATTAAGGAGCAGCTCAAGAAATTACAAATCGCAAAACAGGAAGTAGAGGCTAAACTTATTGCATCGGAGCATGTTCTAAGCACACTAAGAGAGCAGCACACCGAAAAGGAGCAACAGTTGGCTGCTGAGCACAAGAAAACTGCGTCTGAATTGGCACTCAAGGAGAAGGAGATACAACAACTACAAGACAAGTTGAAGCAGCAAGAAGTTGAGCTCGAACAGGCTAATAATGGTAACATCGAGGCAAATGACATAAAGGAGCAGCTGAAGGCTGTACAAAATGCCAAACAGGAAGCAGAAGCAAAACTTTCTGCAACCGAACTAGAATTAAATTCACTGAAAACTAAACTCACAGAAAAGAATCAACAGGTGGCGGAGCAGTTGGAAAAAGCCAATTCTGAACTTGAGCAAAAAGAAATCAAATTGCAGCAGTTGAATAAAAAGCTGAAGCAACAACAAATCGAACTCGAGCTGGTCAGCAGTCAAGAAGCTCAAAATGGCTATGTGAAAGAACAATTATTGCTGCTGCAAAATGCCAAACAGGAAGCGGATGCTCAGCTACTAATAGCGGAGCAGCAGTTGAATAAACTTAGATTAGAATACACGGCAAAGGAGCAACAGAACGCTGAGCAGGAGAAGGAACACCAATCCAGGCAGGAGCAAAATCAAAATGAAGTGCGACAACTGCAGGAAAAACTTTTAAAGCTAGAATCTGAATTGGAATCGTCCAAGTCTCATATAACAGAAGCCAGTGACCTTAAAGAACAACTGCAGAAATCCAAACAAGTAGCAGATGCCAAGCTATTGGCATTGGAGGAACAGCTAAACAGTCTGAGAAATGAGAATGCGGAAAAGGTGCAACAAGTGGAGGCACTGCAAGAGCAACTTCGCATGCTGAAAACGGACAGCGAGCAAAGTTTGCAAGACTTGCGTTTGCATAATAATCAGCTAAATGAAATTGTGCAACGCAACCAGCAGAACGAAATAACTTTGATAGAGGTGCAGAGTCAACTAGAAGACGCCAGAGCACGACTGGTGGAGCAAGAGCAGCGCGTGATTGAAACCGAAAAGAGTCTCGAAGGTGAACAGGAAACGGTAGCCGCATTAAGTATTGAGAAATCAGCTGCGGAAGAACAAACACTCAAATTGCAACGTGAGCTGCAAGTACTAAGCGAGCAATATGCCAGCAGCACGAACAGTGAGTCGGAGGCGATAGCATCTTTGAGGTTGCAGATTGAAACACTCAATGAACAGCTGACCAATGCTCAATCTGGCGCACTGGCCAAGGAGAAGGAGCTCAAGGCCAGCGGCAACAAGCTGAACAAGCTTAAAAAACAACACGAGCAGCTGCAGGCAAAACACAGCGAGCAAGCAACCAGCATAGAGCAGCTCAAGGCGGAGTTGGCGAATGTTGAGGAGTTGCGAAGAGAGAAGCAGGAACTGCAAGAGCGCGTCAATGTTATACTCGAGGAGATCACAACGATGCAGACACATCTGCAGGAAGTGCAGAGTGCGCAGACACAGCTACAGAGCGAGAAACAGAAGCTGGAAACACACATTGAGGCCCTGCAGCAGCAACAACAGCAGCAGAATGCACAGGGCGAGCAGTCGACGGCCCGACTCGAAGAGATTGAGCGCGAGAACAGCAAATTGGCCGAGCACAACTGTCTGCTACAGGAGCAGAATAATCATTTGCAGAAGCAACAGGATGAGCTTACCAAGCTGCAGACGAAAATGCAACAGGTGCTCGATGAGCATTCCAAGCTGCAAAATGCCCAAGAGATTATGGAGCACGATCATCGCACGCTGCAGGACAAATGTGACGCGTTCGAAAAAGAAAATCTTCTAGCGAAAGATGAGCTCAACTGCTTGCAGCAAACAAAGTCTGCTCTGGAATCAGAGAGGAGTACTTTGCAGCTCGACTTGGATCAAGTGCAACAGCAACTTTCAGAGTTTCGCGAACGACAACGCGAACTTGATCAGCAGCTGGAAGAGCAGACACAGCGTTGCTCGGAGCTGGAGGGCAGCAACGAGCAGTTGCCGGCTCTGCAGGCAACTGTTCACAATTTACGCGAGCAATTGGAGTCGTTTAACGAGAGGGAACAGGCGATGCTAGAAAAAGCTCAAGCTACCAGCGTAACTCATGCAGCCCAGCTGGAAACGTTAGAAGCGCGTTGGAGTGCGGCCAATGGCGACGTTCACCGTTTGCAAGAATCGAATGATGTGCTCCAGAAGGAAATCGAGACACTAAGGAGCTCCACGCATAAGAAATCTGAATTCGAACAACTTGAAATTGAGAATGAATATCTAAACAAGCACGCCAAACAGTTGGAAAAGGAACTCGCATTGGCACTGGCTACTCACGGCGACAACGGCGAGAAACTGAAGTCGCTGCAGTGTGAGCTCTACGTACTGCAGGAGCAGGTTGAACAGCATACCAGTCAGCTGGCGGAGAAGGACTCAGAAGCCGCATTAGCTAAAGCGGAGGCAGTGCAACTGAAGTTGTCGCTGGAAGAGCAGACCCTAGAGTTGACGCGTCAGACTGAGCACGCCAAATTTGTTAGCGAACAGAACGATACGGTGCAAAAGGAACTGATGCACACTCAACAACAATTGCAGGAGCGTCAAGCTGAACTGTCCAAAACGCAGGAACAACGCGACAGTCTGGAGGAGCAACTGAACAAGATTAAAAGTGAACAGGAGCAGGCACCAGCAGTGCTGTCAAATGATTCAGAGCATCTACGCAGCCTCAACGAACAGTTACAGCGCGAGCTGGAGGATTTAAAGCACAAAACCAATGGAGAGCAGACGAATCTGCAGCAGGAAATTGATGAGCTACAATCCAACAATAAGGAAATGACTGAACGCATCACGGAACTGGAAACACAACGAGCTGACATACAGGCCCAACAGCTGCTGGCCAGCTTGGCACCCAAGAGTGTTCAGGAGGTGGCTGCCATCGACGAGAAGGCACAACTTGAGGCAAAGCTTAAAGACATCATGAACGAGGTGCAGGACGTGACAAACCGAAATCTTTTCCTGGAACAAAAGTGTGAAAACTTTCTGATACTCGAGCAATCCAATGAGCGCCTCAAACTGCAAAACGCAAAATTGTCGCGGCAATTGGATGAAACACTGGTAAGTCAACTATCCACAGGAATAAGCCCGTGTTTAACTGAATTAATGTCTTACAGGTATCCATGCAGCATAGCGATAACGTTCCACCTAACACGGAATTCGAATATCTGCGTAACATCATGTTCCAGGTAGCGAACAACCTAATTATAGATAACTTTTTATTATATCTCTCTACATATTTGCAGTATTTAACGGGCAATACGAATAATGAAACTCTCGTAAAAGTCATATCGGCAGTGCTGAAATTTTCGCCACAGCAGGCACAGGTTGCCCTGGAAAAGGAGCACCAGCGACGCTCACTAGTATGTTTGACAAATTTGACTAAATTAAAGCAGCATTCTATATCAATTGACTATTTGCAGCTTAACAAACTGATTTAGCAAGAGTTGTTGGCATCCTACGATACTGGCAACTACAAATTCAAGCTGAACGTTTAGCCCAAGTTCACAAGTACCTTACCTCAACTTAGTCACAAGTTGTTGCTCTATCTGCTGCTTAAGGCTTTTCGACTTGCAGGCGGCGTAGTTAATAATACTTATATTGATCTACTTACATATGTGTGTATATCCCCATGCTTGTTGTACAGTCACGAAACTCTGAACGAAACAAACACTCTTGTATATTTGAAATTACGCTAATCTTTATGTTGCTCGATTGACATAGCACACACATACACACACTCCACGCTTTTTTGTTTGATTTAACGTGCAATCATTTATAACATTTAATGTGTATTCCTTTCTAATGCAAGTTCATTTTAGTTCTAAGTGAAAAATTGTAAAAATATCACTTGCAGTTGGCATTTAGTTTAATTCAAAATAATATATATATATATACTATATACATACAAATAAATAGTTAAAATTCATACAAACTACCAACTCGATATTCGGAACTGTTTCAGTTGAATTATACCCTCGATGCTAGCAGGTACTGCTGGCGTCGCTCAACAAAGGTGCGAAGCATTGCGCGTGTCAGCGATGTTAATTGGTGGTCAGGCCTGTAGCTCTGCAAGGCTTCCACAACAAATGCGTAGCCGAATCGTTGCATGCGTAGTATGGCCTGAACGGCTGCCTCCTGCACGCCAGGCCGTGGCACCGCCACGAGTATCCGCTTGAAAAGCGCTATGTAGCCCGTGATATCCGATTGTCCGTCCAGCCGTAGCTGCTTGACAATCGTCGACGTGCACTGCAGCAGGCTTTCCATGCGTGCATCGTATTCCTCGTTCTCTACACAGAAATCACAGTAGCTGTTGGCAAGCGGCATCAGATGTTCCGCCAGTAAGTTGGCCACATTGAGTTGGATGCTTCGCCTGCAGAAGAGGGCAAAGGCATAGCTCAGCTGATGGGCGCGGCCCGCTTTAATCTTCTCCACTAGGTTCTCGATCACCTGCTGCTTCGTTGGCTCAAATGGCTGGAAGTGGTATTCAAACCGAAGCTTGGATATTAGCGCACGGTCCGGTCCTTGGGGATCACTTACATTGTACTGATGGCACATCAGCAGATGCTTCAAGACCGTAATTAAAGGATCACTATGATCATAATCTCGCTCCTCTCGATGCGGCAACACTGTGGGAAAATGGCAGAGCACTTCCAACACCAGGAGTGACATCTGCTTACTGTAGTGGTAGAGTATTTTCGCTAGCAACAGGCGTGCTGGATTCGAATAGCTCTCGACGGGATTTGTTAGGCTTTCCTGCAGTCCAATCAACTGCAAAAAGAGTTTCACAAATTTATGTGCCATGGGGTCTGACAATCGGTCTTTCGGGTTGAACAAACGCTGCTCCAACGTCTTCATGAAGTGTTCTATAAACGAGCATCTCTCACAGTCAAACTGCTTAAGCATTGTCAGCAGCCGTTCCAAGATTAGGACATCTTTGACGCCTGCTTCGACCGACAGTTCACCATATCCAGATATTAGGACATTGATAAGTACTGGGTCATCTATTGCTGCCAACTGGGTAGACGTCAGTTCCAACGGCACTGAGAGTTTAAGGTAATCGATTATTTTAGAATGCAGCTGATCCATTTGTTTCTTATTTGGTTTCTGCTTTCGATGACTCCTTTGCTTAATATCAGCTTTATGGGCGTTAATCATGTAGGATAGCAGCGCCTTTGGCGCACTCAAGTTGTTTTGGCTATCGGGTGCATCCAGGGGAATTTCGATGGGCTCGCAATCATCCGCCTCACAGTTAGCTGAGTCGACGGGCGACATTGGGGAACACTCATGTATGCAGTTTAGTTGCACGTCGGTTACGTTGCTCGAGTCTTGGTTATCAGCTTCCATCAGTAGCTGCTTGGCTTGCGAACGCGTGAGCCGCTTTTCAGTGGGCTGTGACTCAGGAGAGCCATTCATGCTGGAATTTCGCTTACGTTTTCGATTTTGGTGCTTGACTTCATCGTGGTGTTCCATGACCAGATTCTTGTCCGTACAATCTGCGTCAGAAGCGATGGCGTCTTCACTTATCGCCGATTGAGAATCGGATGAACTACATGAGCTCGCTTTTCGCATACGTTTATCATCGGGTATTATCACAGGCAGGCTTTCTATGGTATTTTGAAAACATTTATCTCCCTCATTATCAGAATCCACGTGCAGGTCATCATTGATGACTAATCTTTTGTCCATGCTGTCCACATCCGAATCGCTTGATTCGTCACATGTTTCCCGCTTCAGTTTATCAATAAATATCGACATCGGCGACATCTCATCGTTGTGCACGAAGTCGCTGTGGATATCAGCATAAGCGATAAATAAATTCCTGTCCGCACTGTTCGTATCAGAATCGTCTGATTCCTCATTTGCAGTCTGTTGGGGCTCAACAGGAGTTATCAAAGCCAATTTGTCTGCAGTAATCGAAACCTGTGAGCTTGTATCATGGTCATCCGTACCGCTCTGAAGATCGTTTGACACTGAGATATTATTCACACTTTCATCGGAATCGATTGATTCCTCACTTATCGCCGACTTTGCCTCGCGTGCAATGCGCTTGCTTACTCCTCGTATGGGTTTTTCGGAGGGAACTGTCACAGGCTGAAGTTTTATATCTCCATTGTTGATGACTAAACTCTCTTCTTCACTAGATGCTGACTGAGACTCAGATGAACTACTCGTACTTGGCTTTCGCTTGCGGTCATAAGCACAAAATTTCACAGGTGGCTGCTTCACATTTGGCAGGTTTTCCTTATCGCTGGGAAAGTCGCCATTATTGATGACTAAATTGGTGTTCGGCGCTATATCTTCATGCTGGACGACGTAATCATTGTGTATTTCCTCATTCACGATAATTGAATTCATGGACTTCGAACTTTTGCTGTCAGTGTTTGCTTCTGCAATTGCCACCTGCCTGTCCTGATTCGTTTCATCTTCCGAATCCGAATCACTGCCAAACAGCGCCAATAAATGATCTGCAGGTAGCGAATCAACTTGTTCAGGAACAATATGTTTTACTGACGGCTGTGAATGGCTGGGATGTGACTTATCCTCTACTGCACATCTGATATGCAACGATACGTGTTCCACTGCATCATTCACTTGCGTGTCCATACTATGGGACAAGTCTAATAAAGGACTTTGTGGAGCAAACTCCTCACAAACAATAGGCGTGATCGGCGGCTGTTTAGTATTTGCTGTTGCAGATGTCAGTTGCAGCAATTGACGTTCCTCTGCGTTCAGCTGAATGTCGAAGTTATCACAGTTAGGGTTGTGAAAAGCATTTAATTTGGTTAGGAAATTAACTGCAGTTTCTGTGGGTGATGCGGGCCTCGAAATTTCCTTCTGCTTCGGCTGTGCCTGTGACTGTCGTCGTGCGCATGGTTTTAGTTTCCTTTTCTTTGGTTTGATGTTGGGCTTTCGCATTGCCCTGAACAGAGGTTTAATCGGCAGTCGTATGGGCGTCAGGTCTAGCTCTGTTTTCGGTGGCGGTGATTTTATGTGATCTGTGTGAGCATCAGGTAGTGATCCTTCATCTGCCGGTGCCATAAATTTGGTTTCTGCAAGCACGATATTAAGTTTGCTTTTATGGAAATTAAGTGTTACCAACTTACCTTTGTTACTAATGTTTTTGCTGCATGCAACATTTTGAGCTTGGTGGCTCTCGTACAGCGTGTCAAACCAGCTGCGAAAATCAGCCTGGCTAATGGAACTCGCAGAGCTACTCTGTAGGGCAACAAACACCATTTGGCCCATAACTTGCCAGACCTCTTCGAATACCTGGGATGGCATTTTGGCTAGAATGCTTTGATTATGCGGCAAAAAGCTGAGCAACTCCTTGGCCATGTGGTGGCTATTGCCATCAAGTGCAGCTGCATCAAAAGGCGGCGCCAATTCATCCTTGACACTATCATACATGGCTCGGGATGGTGGTCTGGAATCAGAATGCTTCAATTGAGCTGGCAGTTCTGGGAGGTAGTCAATCTCCCGATACACATTGCACAACTCTGTGCAAGTCCCGATACTAGTCATTGGCGACGCTTCCGGTGTTGGTGACTGATCAATGATGGGGCTCAGCGGCGCAATAGTCCAGGGGAGTATCTTTTCCAATATTTGATAAGCATTAAGAGGGGGCTTCGGCTCTGGAAAGCAGGTGCCCACATCGTGCATTTTGATGAACGATGCCGTCGTTGTACCGCGTGTTGTTGTGGTGTTCTTGTGCTGTATGCCCTGATCTCGTGTGGTTACAAAACTTTCGCTCTGTACGGCAATCGAGCACATTTCCGGCTTGCTGGGTGCCAAAATCTGCGTGTCCAGCGTTTGTGTGGATGAAGTTGCTTGCGTTGTTGACGAAATTTTCGTTCGTTTCTTTGTTGGGCTCTTCGAAGGAGGTAAACAAATATTTGCCGACTTGCAGTAATCTTTTAGCTTGCGCAGCATATTATGCTCGGCCCGCGTTAAGCCATTAGAACTAGGGTCATCGAGAATTCGCAGCGCCAGCTGCATAAAAATAATGACCATATCTTTAGCATCAACTGGCAGACACTTTATTTTTGCTTGCTCCTCTAGCTGCTCGCAGTTTAGCTTTTGTACGTCCAGCTGCTTTTCCAGCTCAGAGCAACGCTTACTATCTTCAAGCGCTCGGCGCTCGAGCTCGATGCGTTGTTTTTTCTCCTGCTGGTACAACTCAGTTACCTCGCTAGCAGTTCGCTTTACGCTGCTCAGCTGCTGCTGTTGTGCCTCAAACTCTTTTACCTGGCGCACTAGTTCATCGTTGGCGGCAATGAGGTCGGCGACCTGGAGACGCTTTTTTGACAACTGCCCATTTGCGGGTATTGTCTGCGAATTGTCATTAATTCCGTTTTGCGATCGCTCATGTGGTGGACTGAACAAAAAATTTAACTCTTCGAAACCCAAACCCACAGACATGATCGTAGTTTTTATTTTGTTTTTTTTTTTTTATGTGTATTTCACGTGTTTGCTGCGAGAGGTAAACGTTTGTGCTTTAGTCCATGCCCTGCTTAAGCGTTCTCTTTACCGGGCAAATGCAACAATGTTAAAACGAGAAGCGCGCATCATTACTACTTTAATACCACAAACAAGCATACCAATCAAATTATCGGTAGACATAAATAAAAGGAAATATAACTAAAATGAAATGAGCCCGTTTCACGACCGGCGATATTAATAACATTGACACTGCAAGTGTGACCGTAGGAAAGAAATTATCTTGACCGAGGATATTTAAAAAAAAACCAAGTAGTCGATAAGTTGATAAAATGAAATAACACTTTTAAAAACTTATTATATTGTTGTAAGCATACTAGAAGCATCGTCTTCTTTTTCATAAATTGTGTATTGTATATTATTCCCGAAATACACAAGGTTGGCAGTTCTAAAAAGTCGCATCCAACTTCACATTTAGCCAGGGCTGCAGCGCCACATTAAAATATTGTGGTAATCTCTACGTCTTGCACAGGTACGTAACTGCGGCATTCGCAACGAAAATTACATAATTTTTTATATTTCTTAAATTTTAATAAACGGTCAGTAAACAAATCACAACCATGGCCGACAAAGCTGCTGCTGAGAAACCTGCTGGACGTCCAATGAGATATCCATACACTTTCTCGGCTAAAATTGCCCAGTTCCCAATCAAGCATTACATTAAGAATCAATGGATCTGGCGCTACTACTTCATTGCGGCAATCGCTTGTGTGCCAGTTTTCTACAAGATCAGCCGATTGGGTAAGTATCCGTTATAAGGACCTACATCTTACTACATTTGTTATTAATGTTTGATTTCCGTGCAGCCAACTCGCCCGAAAACAAGAAGGCATGGGCCGAAAGCCAGGCTAAGGAGGCTGCCGCGCACCATTAACTTACTAAGTTCAGCGGAGCTGCCATTGATTTAGTTGTTTAAAGTTGCATCTACATTTCGAAGCCGTTTCAGGTGGCTTAACTTAAATATTGATTGGTGAATAAATGATTTAAAACGTACATTGATTTTACATTCATAAAAAAATATATTTTGCTCGAAACCATTCACGTCAACGTGTTGTTGACATTCACAGTGAATACGGACAGGGCTGCACATGTTTTATTTGACGTTATGTGGCAACGTTTTCAACCAGCTGCTAAAAAAAATTGCCATCGTGAGCAAATATTGTAAAGCGGTTTTATAACAAATTTATTTATAAGGTAAATAAAAATGGGTCATCTAAAGCTAGTCCCAATGTCATATCATGATTAGGTTCCTATGCCTCTAAGCTACCCGAATTTCTATATTTTCAAGCCAACAAAATGGTTGTAACAAGCGAACAGGTACATATGTAGCCTCATTTACTATTAAACAACAATTTAGCTTGAAGTTTTATTTGGCATGTGTAGTGAACTAGGAAGTGTTTGGTCAATTTCAAATTACTTGTGCCTAATTATATTGTGTACCTCTATTCCATAGAGCTCATCGACCTCTGCAATAACTAAGCAGAAAAAGCAACGCCAACGAAATCGTCCCAGAAATAAACGAAATCGTTTGGAAGATAGCGAAGCTAAGCCAAAACAAAACGACAGCGCCATGCAAAAATCGAACAGTAACCCACAGCAGAACACATCGACGGACAAAACGCGCGAGCAAATAATGGCCGAGCGGGAGGCGAAAAAGCAAGCGAAACTGGCAAAGAAACAGAAACTTAACGCTCCAGCAACCACAATTATTACCGAAGTGGAGCAAACGACCATCACGAAAAAGCTAACGACTACGACAACAACAACAACGAAAGAACAAAACCTACTGCCGCTACACTCTACAAATGTCGCTGACACAAAAACTGCATCTGAAGCATCCGCAATAAGTTCTACAGATGTTAAGCCAACTGCACCAGCTGGTGAAAAAACTCGTGAGCAAATCAAAGCAGAGCGCGAGGCGAAAAAAGCTGCCAAACATGCTGCAAAGTCTATCAAGTCCAACAATGTGGATGCAGCAGCTGACCAATTAAGCGACCTGCAAGTTGCTACCAAGACCGAAACTGCCTCAGCAGCAAGTGCATTAACAGCGGATCATGAAAAGGTGAGTGGAAAGGTTATTGAATTGTTTATCTGCGGTAATCGATTATACATACGCTTGCGTGTGTAAAAACTGATTATTTAAATAACCAAAAGGTCATAACGATTGCAACTTAAGGAGCGTCAAGCGTGCATTGTATATGCAACGCTTATTCAGCAGCTGTTTAATACTTTTTCCTATACGATACTTTTATTATATACATTATTTATTACTGATCCATTGTATCTGCTTTGCAGAAAAAGCCAGCACTTAGCAAGGCGGAACGTCGAGCCATACAGGAAGCGCAGCGCGCTGCCAAGGCGCAGGGTCAAACTAAAAAGCCGCCAGGTGGTGTTCAGACAGCAGGAGCAAACAGTGTTAAAAAGGCACCAAGTGTGGATGCCACGCCTGTCAAGGAACAGAGAGATGACAAACATGACAAGCATGAATCACCCGCCAAGTCGCCATCAAAGTCTGGAACACTCAAAGCGGATCGTGAGTGCAAAGTGAAGCTGTTTAATCATTTGGTGAGCGCGGACAAAGATGCCAGCTTATTCATCAACGATCCCAATGTACATCCGAGCATGGCGCGACTGGGTGTACAATATGCCCAGCGGACAATTGTCGGGTCTAATGCGCGCTGCATTGCTTTTCTGCATGCATTGCGGCAGGTGGTGCAGGATTTCGAGACGCCCGCCAAGAAGGAGTTCGGTCGCAGTCTTGATGTAGCAGTCAAGCATCATGTCGATCATCTGAACAAGTGTCGACCGCTGGCCGTATCCGTATACAATGCCTACAAGCAGTTTAAGAATCAGTTAACGCAGCTGCCAACGGACACACCTGAGACGGAGGTAAGTAGCGGAACAGTGATTGGAGGGAAGCTATAGTTATTAATTGTTGTCTGTTTTTGTTTCAGTTAAAAGAGCTACTCGGACATTTTATTGACACCTATATAGAGAATCAGATTGGCAAGGCGGCGCAAGCCATCAGCAGTTCCATGCAAGAGAAAATTACAGACGGCGACGTATTGCTCACCTTTGCCTGCTCATCGCTTATTCAATTCATTTGCGAGGAGGCTAAGCGTCGCAAGGTGACATTTCGAGTAATTGTCGTCGATTCACGGCCTTTCTGTGAGGGCCAGGAGATGCTGCGTCGACTGCACGCCTGCGGTATACCATGCACCTATGTGCTAATCAACGCCATCAGCTACGTAATGCCGGAGGCCACCAAAGTGATGCTGGGAGCGCACGCGTTGTTAGCCAATGGATATGTAATGGCTAGAACGGGCACAGCCCAAGTGGCTCTCGTTGCCAATTCCCATAACGTGCCGGTACTTGTATGCTGCGAGACACACAAGTTCAGTGAACGTTTCCAGACTGATGCTATTGTCTATAACGAGTTGTGCGATCCCAATCTGCTGGTGATGGATGGAAAGTGCTGCCTCAATAACTGGCAATCGAAGAGCCGGCTAACGCCACTCAATCTGAGCTACGATATAACACCACCCGAACTGGTCAGCGCCGTTGTCACCGAGGTGGCCATTCTGCCTTGCACCAGCGTGCCCGTCATTCTGCGCATCAAGCCAGACATTGGCTATTAAGATCTTTCATAGTCGTCGTACAATTATTTGAAAACCAGAACGCCACTCCACAGTCAAGGGCAATTGTTGAATAAATAATCATTTTATTATATTTTGATCAAACATTTTTGCATAGTACATTTACGGCTTGAAAAGCAGCTATAAACTGTCTGACAGCGTGCAGCAGACATTACGATAGTTTTTGTTTGTTTAACTGTATCCATGCAACTGTATGCTAATGGTATATAAGTATACACACCTAGGTATGCAATAATATATAAGCAATTGTACTGTCTTGTTTGTGTGAGATGTATGTTGAGGAGTCTGATTCAAATTTTACATAAATTCCTAAAGTAAAAAGGCATACGAATTGTTTGAGGTACTCAAAGCAAAAACAATTTTATAAGAGATAAGTTTACATATGGAATGCTGCCTAAACAGAGATTCTGTAATATTAAGATAAAAGTCTATGTTTATGTAAGCCCTTCTAAGAAATGTAACACATAAATGCCAGCTAAGGCCTTGATGAACAGCATAATTTAAAATACGTAATATATTTAGAATTTAGTTTAAAACGGCAGAGGTTTGGGAATCGATCTGAACGATTGTAAAATAGATTAAAAAAACAACAACATAAAATAGATTTGTGCCCGACTAGGCGAAGTTCTGATATATGCGCATGACTGGAAGCTTTGCCTAGCTTGAATGCTTATTAGTTGATTTGCACGCTATAACTCGAAGTTCGAATGTGCTTTTAAGTAGCTACAACTACAAATGCAACAATAAATATAATATAATATATGTATATATATATATATATATCTGTATGTTAATATGTATATATGTATTTAATGCCACAAAACACACACGAAACAAATTCGCCACATTCTTGCCCGCTTTCCACATTCACTCCGCGTCACATGCTCAACAATTTACAACTAGGATTATGCTAGAATTGCGCTTATGGACTCTGCTTTTGCATCTGTCGGAAGCAACCTCGACACACAGGCACCGCCTTGCCGCTGTCGTGTCCAGGCAACGCCACGTTCTTATCTATGCAGCGCTCACAGAAGATCTCCCCGCAACGCCAGCAATGTGTCTGAAAAAGAGGAAGGCACTTGAATTAGATGAACTTTTGTTTAGTTATCGGCTCACTAACCTTTTTGCTGAACTGATCAAAAGGTGTGGAGCAGGAGCAGGTGGTTACATTGCGCATGGATTTCCAATCCAGCGCCACCGACGAGATTTCCTCGGTCAAAGCCTGTGGGCTCGTTTGCTCGGCATTTAACGACAGATTGGCAAAGGACATGTTGCTCGCCTTCAGAGGATGATCATCATCGGCGGCTGATAATTCGCTTAGCTTCTTATCATAATTGTATCTGGAAACAAAAAGTAGATTGTTAGGAATTTCTTGAAATATTGCAATCAAGGTGTTTGGCTACTTGTTGTCATTGATCTCATTGGTGGTCGGCTCCTTGCTAACTTTAGTGGTGGTTGTGGTGGTGGCATCCTGCAGTTTCTTGGCCGACTTGGAAATGTAGTTCTTGAAGCTGGCAATGCGCTTCGTCAAGTGTTGCACATGATCCTCCAGCGAATTACAGTGCTCCTTGCTGTCCAGCAGCAAATCGCCCAGTGGCTCACGTGGATGTATGCCGCTCTCAAAGCGACTGTACATGCCACGCCAGAATCTATAAGGTAATCACATTAGAAAGAGCTGTTCTAGCTTAATCAACTGTGGACTTACTTGATGCACTGCGGCGCCAGATTGGCTTTGATCGATTCGTCTACATTGGGTTTGTACAGCGGATTTATATACTCATTGAGATGGTTCGACATGTAGCCCCACAGCGAGAATGTGCGTTCGGCCAGCTTTAGGTCAAGCCGATCCTTCTCGCAATTGCCCACAAAAGTGCCGAACTGACATGAATGCACATGATCGTGTAGTATCAGCAGAAAACGCTCATTGAACTCAAACGACTCGCTGCGCTGCGACATCAACTGCCAGGTACAATCCAGGAATTGTGTAAATATGGGCGACACCTCGCGCGCATCTGTCTGAATGTGGCCACAGCGTTCGCTAAACTTATGCCCAAATGCCAGCCAATCCTTCTCGATGAGTGCCTGAAAGCCCTTGATTGTGCGATAATAAGGATTCAGCATTAGCTGCGCCAGCGAGCAAACTTGAGCGGTGCGATCCCAGCCATCAGAGCAGTGCACAACCACAGAGACGCCCTTATCGACGGCATTGGCAATGAAGCTAAGGAAAGGAACTCCATCAGTGTAATCTCAAGTGCAAAACAGCTGCTTACAGCTATAAGGTTTACTTTACCTCGACGTGTCCAATATGGAGCGAATGTGCTTCAGCCAGCCGGACGACTCGAGGGCATTAAGAAATGTGCTCATCGTGGGTGATTTCTGTTCGCATGCCTCCAGCACCTTTTGCAGGCTGGCGCGCTGTACGTGAATGTTCTCAATGCCGAGGAAATGGAATTTGATGTTCTCGTAAAAGGCCTCGTTCTCGTAGCCCTTGCCGGCGGCACGATTGGCCATGGCATTGATCTGCAAGCGAATGGGGTCAGAGTCGTTGGTTGTTTACATATTGTTTTTTCTTTTGTTGTTTTATTTGCACTTACGCGTGGTCGCGTATCCACAACGAACATATAATCGTTATTGGGATTGGTTTTGCGTATGGCCTCCAGCATTTGCTCGTCCTCGAGACAGCGCGCACTGAAGCCCGACAACGGCTGGCTGCAGCGGCATATGGACGCCTGTTGATACAATTGATTACATATATTAGAGATATTTACATATGGATAGGTTGCTCAAGATGTTTGCTTACCTTGTTGTTGTGCAAATAGGTCAATGCGGGCAGGCGACCCTTGGAGCGAAAGCGCGAGCTGCTTATCAGCATCAATGTGGTGGCCTCTTTGGGCACATAGATCTGACGCGGATACGTATCGCATAGCTCGTACTTCTCGTTCATGGAGCAGAGGGTCCAGTTCTCGTTGGGCACCAGCATGTGCTTAAACTCGGCCTCCAACTTGAAAAAGTCCCAGCCAGCGTTTTTGGGAAAGTCATCTTTAGCCGGCTGATAATTGAAGCAGTACAGCTTGTTGATGGAGACTACGAGCAGAGAATAAATTACAATGATGGCAGCTATCAAAGTAAATGGATTGTGTTGCCACTAACCCGGCTGAAAGAGTTTGATTAGCGAAGTATAAACATCGTGGCACTCTGAGTCCTTGGGCACGACAAATGTCACCGACAAGAACGTCTTGCAGCGTATCAGCAGCGGGGAGCCGGTAGTGCTAAGTGGCAGCTTCTCAATGCTGGCAATGTGCATGTGCAGAATCTGTAATGAAAGGAACTAGTTAATATATATATATAAAGAGAGAGAGAGAGAGAGAGAGCACCCAACAGACAATCTGAACTCATAATCACTCAACTTGAAGCACCCCTTTGCGTGACCACAGTTAATAGCTCCAGCAGTGCCCGCAGGTCAGGCACTTCAACTTTTACAAAGTGGTGCCTGCTGGCTGCCGGCCGCCCCGAGGCCCAGTCTTATGACAGCAAGAAAAATCGATAGTTAAAGCCTACTCAGCGCATAATTGGCAACTGGCTCTGCACACGAGTGCCCCAACTTTTAATTAACAGCATGGAGGAGGCAACGTGACGCTAATATGCTCATTTCTCGGGTCTCCAGCGGCCACTTGTCGCGCCATTGCAAAGTGCATAATTGATATAATTATGGTGTAGCAATTAAAAACGCAATGCCCGAGTGCACATGCAGTGCCAAGATAGAAGAAAACCCAACTTAAACAGCAGTCAAAATGCTGAATCTAACGGCGAAGCTTTCGCATCAAATCGAAATGAATCAGCGCGAATCAAGGTCAGAAGTGGTTAGCGAGCAACTCTATAAATTGCTCGAAATCGCGTGTCGAGTTATATAATATATACACATGATGAAAAATTATATACTAACAAGTCTATAGAACATAATCGAGTTACTTGTGTCTATCACAGCTTTACAGATCAAATCTGAAAGTTTTGCTAAATGGGCTTTACAGCTACGGACAATAGGAGCGTGTCAAATCGGCTATTACTATATAGCGTTTAGTGAAAATAATATTTTATATTTAAGGTAGAGTTGTGAAACTTAAAATATTTAAAGGTCTTGAGCTAGCCAAGTTCTCTACATGGGGCCAGGATGCGAAGGCATCAGAATCTTGAATATTTTCTATGTCTAATACACTCACTTTTCAGAACTATATTCGGCAAGCCGCTTAATAATTATTAATGTAATTATTATCACTATATTTATCCATAATAATAATTTGTTACATTTGTAAAACTACTTATAGTATTTCCACTATAATTAAAACATAATCTTAAGCGCTCAGCCTAACCTTTTGCGCCACTTTGTCTTTAGCTCAAGCCCTTATCTTAATGCCAAAATCTGTTGTCTGTTATAGGATTAGCATTTCTAATTTAATCTTCTGCTGTTTATGTATTCCAAATAAAAAAATTACTTTCTTTCTGTTTCGCTCTGCTGTCACGAGCTCAACTGCTTTGCTGTGTCCTTCTGTGCCTGGGACAGCGAATTGTGTATGAATGAAAATTGAATTGCAGCCGCTTAGAAGCACTTTGTTTGCTCATGCCACATTCATTCATTCATTCAATCAATCCCTCCGTCACTCTGTCGACCAGCAGCATTTCTGGCGTATTGGCATCAAACTTGTGTTTGCTTTTTCAATGTTTCTCTTACATTAGCGAATGTTTTACTTTTGTTGGTCTGCTTCTGGGACTTTGAATGAATGTTTTGTGCTGCTGAATAATACAATGTTACGCCCACACAAACATATACACTAATCGAGGCACAGCGGGCACGTCGACATGGCATTTTAATTTGTATTTGTGCAATGGGGCGTATACGCAATCCGCGCGAGTACCACTGTGTCGCTGTGTATTTGCGACTAGTTCTGCCGGGCAGCACAATGCGAACGCGTTTTAATTAAATTGAAGACAAGTTGCGGCTTAAAGCCGAAGCCAAACTTTAATATGCACATCTTTCGCGCGCGCTCTGCGGCTTAGCAGCCTTGAGGCAAATGCTAAG